TTTTTTCAAAGGGTTCTCCTTGGCAGAACTATTTCTAGGGGGTTATAATGTTACAGTAGTTCTGCCAAAATGATAGCTTAAATAGTGGAAGTGACAACTTATATTCCTCTGATTAGCAGCTATTTCAAAACATAAAATAACCTTTAATTTTCCTTATTTCTCCGATTATTATTTTGAAGATTATGAATGAGGTAGACATTTTGCCATCTGACCGTGAAAGTGCAGTAATTACAAGAGTAAACGAGGCCAGGCCAAGCGTACCTGAAGAAATGCTACCATTAACTCGTTAGTATTGCAACCGTTATCCAGACAGTAGGATAATTTAGCATCTTTATATACAATAATTCCCTGCGAATTCGGTTTTTGGAAAAACCAAAGATCGCTGTCCTTAGTGAATCCTTCAATTTCACTCGACAGTCAGTGCTTTTCATTTGAGTTTCTTTTTTTTGGTCTCTCAGTCTGCAGGAACGTCTTCCAGTGGGCCTTAGTTTTATCTCCTGTCACTTGAAAGCTCTTTAAAACAAAGCTCTCCCGCTTCTCTAATGTGTAACTCCAGCATTCTCCCATGAGACATATGGTGCAGTGATTTCAAAAGAACTACTGTATCTCTAATGACTGCATACTCTATCTCGAAACAAGTAAAACCTGGCTTGTTTCTTATAGTAAATGTAAAGTCATAATCCATCGATTCCTTCCGTTCCGTCGGTTCACATGCTGCTTCTAGACCGCTCTTGATGAGAATTCATCATTATGCCTATGGAAAAACGTGCCTATTATATGAAGTTCCCACGCGATTTCTCACCGATTTCTGAATGTTAGAAGAATAAGGCGACGATTTCAATGTATTTACCGTGAAACGGTATGTACTTATTACGTGTGTCTCCCTATTGACCATAGGGAGACATTGTGTGAGTGGCATTCGGGGGGTGATCGTAAACGGTGGTCGCCGTCATGGTTGGTGGCCAAATACCGACTCGCATCTCACTTCTCAAAGACGTTCACCACTACCACCTCGTTACGCTGCCTCTCGTCCCACGCGTCCACTAGCACCATCCGTGAATACCCACTTGTAGCCAACACATCGTCGTCGTCTATGGCGCGACGTTGATCGAGACACTGAAGAGCGTTTTATTTGCGCTTTCGGGAATGAAAGGCGGGATGAGCGGGCCTGTAATGGTGATTTCGAGGTCATCACTACATCATTCCCCCTTGTACTTGACATCATTCGCTCCAAAGTAGCATTTGCAGTTCCCAAAAAACCTTGGAACTTGGCCGAAAATCATGCCTGAAGGTTCCACTGGATTTTCTCCGAATTAAAGCAAAACTTCCGTTTCCAGAAAAAAATTATATCGTGGTATATCTAGAGCTGACTTGCGCTGGATGGTTCAGAAAACTTGCAAATACCTATTTATTTATTTTGGTTTCTTTTATGTTACCTGACTCACTCAATAACTGTGTTCTAATAGCCGAACTAGAGAGGGTCCTTCGGTGCCTGGGATATTTGCCAGCGCAAAGACTCATGTGTGAAATTCCTTTTTCTTCCTCCGTCATTCTATTCGTTCCTTCCTTCTCTCTTCCCTTTTCCTTTTCCTTCACCCTCCAACTGCTGGGTCAGTAGATGCGATGAGAAAATACCTGCGGGCCCTCAGAGCCCCTTGTAATCGTCTGTCGGGTGCAAGGTAAGGTAGAATGAATAAAAACTACCCGAAAGGGCGATTTCCCAGCTTCTCACAAGTTTTTTGCAGTACTGTATATATGAGTCAAAGGACTTCAGTTACGGGCAGGGCACGTCCTATCGCTGAGAAGAATTTTTGCAAAATACGGCTCCTTTAGAAATTTCTTCTCTGGTTTGACGCCCTTCCCATTTTTCTCTATTCTACGAACCATCCTCCTGAATTCCCCCAACTTTTTACCACCTTTTCCTGTTTTTCAAGGAGTTCTTTAGTTTTTGCCAAAAAAACTAAAATCGAGCGCGGTTGGAGGTTACATATGTAGGGTCGCCTCAGGAGAGAGGGTATACGGTGCTAGAACCATGAGAAACAAAGGTGGACAACCGAAAACATTTTTTCGCAGAGGCAATTACGGCCCCCTTTCCCATGCTCCCCTCCCCTTCCCCCCCTACAGTGGTCCTATACGACCTCCCCCCCTCCCCCCATCGCCAGCGTATAATGTGCCCTGATTTAGGCTTGCGGTAGAGGCTTTGTTCTTGTTGCGCGAACACTGGCACTATGGCCGTTCTAACTACCGCCCAACAACAGAAGATGATGTGAACGTTCGCAAATACATATGCGCTCAATCGTACCCATGCTGCCCTTTTCGGTGGTTGCGTAGTTTTTGTTGAAACGTCCCCTCGCCCCTTTTCACCCTCTATTTTCTCTCATTTCGACTTTGAAACGGAAACTCATGTGGAATTCTCAGCAAGCATCAGTGAAAGTAAATGATTTGCAAAGACGCTTTCGTCATGAGATGTTCAGAGTCATTACTTTACTTGTCATTACTTAGCTTCACATGTCTGCTGTTGGACTACCCTTTCATCTGGTTAATTTCACATTCTCAGCTAACATAGCATGTTCGTGACCGTCAAGTTAGGTGCGAAGTTTCTCTTTGGATACGGAATAAATCTTTCATGATGTCATGCTCAGGTCCTCAAGCAACGACGACGAGCTCATCGAGCTCGTCGCCAATTACGACGCTAAGGTCATGCTCCTATATCCGGTTGTTTTCGCAATCAACGCAACGACCAGTCTACTGCTTATTCAATTCTCAGCAACGTTATGCAGGAAATCCGTGGTGATTCCTCGCACTACTCGCTCTTTCTGTTTTTGCCTTGATTAACTCCGGACGAGATGGAGTTGGTCGAAGTGCGATGAGCAGAAGGATGAGGGGGCGCAGTTGCTCCTATCGGACTTCATCGCTGTTCCAGATTCATCACTTTTTTTTGGCCATCAATCAACTCTTTCTCCTCTTCTTATTCACTTACTTAAGGGTCTGAAAGCATATCAACGAAAGAGGAGTTTTTCGTGGTCCGTGAGGACTGCCCAGGGTTTCAACAACTCCCTATGGCCATCAGCTGATATTTGAATATGGGTCCAGAGGTCCGGAGTCAGTTGGAGATTACGCGTGCTCATGATTCATTCTGAACGATCAACCCTTCCTCAATTATTCGATACTGTCAATGCTAATCATCATAGACATACGCATCTGCCACGTTTTTTCTCAACTAGGACCGATGACGAGCGAATTTTTTTACGGGGGTCGGTGTGACTGACTGGCCCTCCTCGCGTTTCGTTCAGGGCTCATAATCGGAGGAACACGAAAACGCCAAGGATATTTCGTAATGACTGTGAAAAATACTAGGTGAAGCACATGCTTTCTCAGACGCGCTATGTAACAGTAGAAAAACCCTTCAAACTGCCACCTTGTACCGCCCGCCCTCCACTGCTGCTCTTTCATCACACGGCAAACGGTACTGCTCAACAACTCTCCTACTTGTTCACTACCAGTTTCAACTCCTATTAGAGCACAGCCAGCCTTTTGGAAACGGTGATCTTTGCTTTCGATCTAGCTGTTTTTCTGTTCCAATGGCGTTTGTTCGACGAAATTCGAGACCATCGTATAAACGGCCCCATATACGAGACGGGTGTGAGTGTGAGTGTGTGCGTGGGGATCATGCAGTAGCATATGCGCATCACTGACACGGTCCATAAACCACACATCTCTCCCCCAGATGATGACGAAGCTCTGCCACGGAAAATGACCACTGCCCACAAGCTCCGTGTCCAGTGTTCGGGTGCTCTTCAGAACGATAAAACCGGACCAGTTCGAGATAACATTGTGTGTCCATTTGGTGGCTCATGTTTGCTCACCGGTAGCGCCGTCCTTGATACAATTATGATTTCATGAAACATTACACTCTCTTAAGATTACCGCCTCGGACCTTTTCTACTAGTTAAACTCTCCGTCAGCGACATTTTTAGCACTTCTTTACTATGTATCCCTAGCCAGAGCCCACCAACACTCTGTCGAGAGCAGCAGCTTTTTTCTTTATATTCAAGTGGACTTGTTATTAACTTCATAGATCTCTATGAAGCGCTCTCTAGAATGTATCACTCGTTCCTTTGGGATCATCCATACCGTATCTCAAAAGGTATACTGTAGTAAATTCAGTTGCTCTACTTTTTCACCTTTTCTCCGTGCCTGAAGGCATCGTTCCGAAATTTCTGGTCAGTCTAATTAGTTCAAAGATACTCTCTAGACTGTAACGTTTACTTACTACTACTACTGTCTTAATACTGTACTACTTTATTCTGTTTGGACATGTTCTCTGGCCTCTGGTCCTCATGATCTACTCAAAACCTCGCCAATATACTTCTTGATTACCTCAGCCACTGAGTGCCTTCTTGTCGATTTTCTGCCACCTGCATCTACCTGAGTTCTAATTATGAGCGCCACGATTTCCATTTGACGACACTTTTTGTGCTCTGAATTTTGACCTAAGAAAATCAATATCTGCTCGGCTATGGGTAAAGAGGTCGAGTCGATTCGAAGATGCTGAGAATTTAATAGTCGGGAGCATTTCCCTGGGTGTCATCATTCTTATCGCGAGATGCACTTTTTTGTTTCGTACGAGGGCTATCGCCAACGTTGCAATGTTGTCGGTGAGATTTAAGAGAGTTGCCGAAATAGTTCCAAAGAAAAATTGGACCTATTTCACCGGATTCCATTTGACTTGACCGCTATGAAATCTTATGGTCCAACTTTCGGTTCATCTTCTGTATTCGTATTGTTTATTGACCCGAATGTGGCTCTTTAACGCGCGTCAAATAGAGGATTACCGCGCGACAATTCTGAAATCCTTCGCGTACACTTGGACTATTGCCAACAACGCTATTGATCCTTTTGATGTCCTTTTGAGATGTGACATTAGATCTGAGCCCTATGGGACAATTTACAGGTTGCGAGTATACGACAGGGAACAAACGCGGTAATATTTTCACAGAATGAGGTGGTTGCTGACCATAATCGCTCTCATACATCTGGCACGGTGCCAGAAAATCGTCACAAAAGGCAAAACGATTACGGTAGGTGGATGAGTTCGAGCTGAGCCGTGAAACTTGCACATTCTTGAATTTACAGGTAAATGAGGGTGAACAGTTGGAGTTGCCATGTTATGTACAGGATCTTGGATCGGAGTCGATCATATGGCGACGAAAAGAAAATCCTCTTTTCATCGACGAGGAGAATCTCGCCGAAGATGAGCGTATGCAGGTCATCAAGGACGGATCGGTGAGTGACAGGCGATGGCAATATAACCAGTCATAGATCATGAGGCAAATTGTGAATTGGCTTTTAGAATTCAACCCTCACAATTCTTGATGTTGAACCGATGGACATGAGTGATTACGTTTGTGCCGTATCGGAGCCGGAACAGGAAATCGTCTACAAAATCATCGTACACTGTAAGTCCACCAGAGCACTTCTTGTCGCTGGGGAAAATACTAAAACATGACATTCTTCAAGAGTGGCACGACTTCCGTCGTAAGCACCATCTTCCCAAATCCCGCTCCCTACCACTCCTCCGGAGTTTTATTTTCAAAAATTTCGTCTTTCCTCCCAAAGCTCCGATAAAACTGCCGCCGTCCGCCGAAGTGGGGAGGGGGGGGGGAAGGCTGGGAGGACTTGAAACAGGAAAAACAAGTCAACAACAGAAAACATTTTCGCAAAAGCAAATACTCCCCCTCTTTCATGGACCAAATGCGGCATCCCTCGTTGGGGATCCCTATGGTATGACCTGTCCTAAAGTCGACTCTCATCTTAACCTTGGGTCATTGAAAGCAACGAATCATCTTTGGAGAGTGCTCGACGAGGGGTAGGGGCCAATTCTAGGCCTTGGAAGGGGAGCGACAGTATCTCACTCGACGCCAATTTTATCGTTGTTTATTTTACCCGGCTCGTGCGCGCTCTATATTTTGCTTCTCTGATCTCGCGGTTATACTTCTGGTGGAGGGGGGAGGGCAGGGATAGGTACAGTGACTCGAGTCAGATCTCTGTCCTTGAGGCTCATCATCGCGTGATGGAAAATTTTTGCAAGGTGCGACCCCTCCCAAACTTTCTCCGACTGATCCCCCTTCGTGGCATACCTACCTTGCTACCGAGTTTTCTTCGTAGTTGTCTCACAGTTGCCGCTGAACGGGTGGGGACAAGGAAGGGACGTGTGAAACAGGAAAAATAAGTGTTCGGAAATTTTTTTTACGAAAGGTGAAGTACGATAACAACGATCGGGACATACCTTCTCACCCCCTTCCCTATGTGACATTCTCACAGGAAGCACTTAATATTCAGCACGTCCACCCCCCCAACGCGACTAGAGGGTGTGGGGTCATGTTGAGGGTCACCAAGCTGTGTAAGCGTCTCGTATCGTTCTGGATCGCATGATTTACTTATCTAAGACCCTCATCAATGTGACCGCTTATAACTCATTAATCATTACGCAATCTGCAGCGCGGTCACTGCAGCCAAGCAGCAGCGGCAGCCCGACCAACAATGTTAGCGGAGGACCCTTCAAATTTGGGATCGGCTGCTAAGGATTCTTTTGGTCCCATAAACATACAAAGGGGAATATGTTGTCGTTATTGGCAGCTTTCGATCAGTAAACGGGTGCCACAACCGCAATATGCACTCATCGAGTGATACGATGGCCGTTTAATTACACGACGTTAAATTTAACGTCGAGCCTCATTTGCATCTCGAAAATGCTCGTCCGCAGATATTTGAAAATTCGCCGGGAGATTTTGAAGGATTTTTGGTGTTCAGGCTCCAGGATTCTTGAAATTTGTTGAAGGCCGACGACATGTTCACTTTTCTGTCATTCCAGAGGCTGGTACTACAGCTGTTGCCGTAAAATCGTCTCTCATGGTTCGAAGGCACTTTTTCGGGCTTTTCCTTCGAGCCTATTTCTCGTGTTTCACTCGACCATATGTCGTGGTTTTTACCATGTTCAGGAGGTTTGCCATGGGTGTTCATAAAGCAAACCAGCGTTACTACAGCATTCATTCAAGTACAGTCTAACAAAAACTATCGGCCGTACGAGGCCGACGCTCCAAGAAAAAAACATAATAGAGTGCCCGGAACAAATTACGATTCAACCCCCCACTGAAACACGTAGTAAACCATCAAGGACTTGTACTTCGATTCTAAAGAAAAGGGACAGGTGTATGAGCGTGTACGCTTTGTACCCAGAAATAGTTGGGTCGTAACTGCGTACATAGTACTCACGTAGCGGAAGCGTCTGAAGGGGCAGTTCGGTGACGGAGAGGGGCATTTAGCTGCACATCGATGTGTCGACCCATCTAGATAAGTTGACCATTTTACCATGGTGACTAGACGAGCTTGCTCCAGCTTCACAAGAGTTCACAAGCTTCACCAGAGTGACGCTTGTAAACCGGAGCCAGTGAAGCAAAGAAAAAGCGCTGCCCACCATTCCCCTCCCCCCTCCCTCCCCTTCACCCTCCCCTTCCTAACTGCGCCTCCTCTGGAAAACTTGGTAGTTTCCCACAAGAAAAGGTCCCCTTGTTTGTATACGAAGTCTAGTGACATTCAGCTAACTAAACTGAAGCCTGACGAAGTTGAGTACTACTAAGCAGGAGGAAAAAACTTTCTTGAAACTGTTTTCAGGCCCACCACTAAGTCCGCAATTACGACCACTCTCACTGTGGGATATGTGCGGTGAATGATGAGATGATTTATTACAGTATTTGTTCAGCTCCACCGACTGTCGTCATTTCGCCGGATGAGCCGGAATACCTGTTGTCAGTTGGTGATGAGCAGGTGGTTGTTCGATGTCTTGCCAAGGGTAATCCTACTCCAACTATCAAATGGTCTCGAAAGGTAAGCAGTTAGCAGTAATTTCTTTCCACACCCTCATTCCATGGCTAATAGAGCAACTGGTGTGTTTTTACTTGTACAGCGCCATCATAATGAGTCAGCCGGCTAATCACGGTCAATCATTTCTCATGGTCCGGATGATAATCCCGACCCAGAGATTAGGCCAATCACCCTTATTAGCGTATAATTGGCGTGAGCGGTTGGCGCCCTAGGGTGTCGTATGGCGCAGCGCCGTCGGCCATTCTCACGGTAGTGTTGGCATCAAGTCCGACACAAAATTCTCATCAGTCACGATTTTAAATGACAGTGAAGGTAATTTGATTTTAGGACGGAAAAATGCCGTCAGACATCTCAATTCGTGGTCCGCATCTGGTGATTTCGAAGGCGAAAAAATCGCATTCGGGCGAATATGAATGCACAGCGAATAATGCTGCCGGCAGTGATTCTGCCACATTGAAAATACAAGTAAACGGTAAGTAAATTAATCATGACCGGAATTCAATCAGTTTTCTCTCTACCAACTGCTTTACCCTTTGTCCAGTTAGTCCAGCATGTTCAAAACGTTTTACTTCAGATGTTTCTTTTTGAGTGCGATTTCTTTGCTGTGCAATACACATACACACAACGAGTGCAGTTTCTTTCGTCACAAAAATTACACCTCATTAAAAAAGAACTCGAGTTTACAACGCGTGATGAATAGCTTACTCATTAACAATTTAAGTTACAATGTGATTAGTGCACATTAGTTGAAATCTATAGCCATTCAGTCTCACATTACCCCTGTGATAAACGAGCTAAAGTCGCTTCTTGCGTCTGCATGAACGCGAAAGCCGGAAGTCGAAAGCTCAGTCGAAATCGCAAAAGCCGTTTATGGTGGTAGAAATAAGGCAGTATAAATAAGCTTGTAAAATACGGCGCAAATAACAAGGCAAGACTAATGTATAGAATTTTCGCCGTTGATCCATCACATTTTGAGGTGCCACAGATATTCCACTTCCATTCACAACGGGGCACGTCGAGCGGAATCACCTGCGAGGGGGAGGAGAGGCTGGGGGGGGGGGGTCACATTCGGTCACAGGAAGGAGCGGGACGTGTTCGGAAGAAATGTTTTCCGTTGTGGGCTTTTTCCGGTTTTCCCATGTTTTTAGCCGCTATATACCTCCCCCCTCCCTCCCCATCGCCGCTTTCTCAATTTTTGGTAAAAAGCTGTAGAGTCTTTTCTGGAAATGGTACAAAGAAGGTAAGTAAGACGGGGAATACGGGGAATGGGGATGGGGGACCTATCAGAAAAACTTTCGGGGGTCCTATTCAGCAATCAGTAGGGTGTACCCTGACTCGCAGTCGTAAGAGCACCTGGTGTGCGGTATGAGCTCAAACAAGTCTGGTGCCAATTTGCCAACACGTTTAAGGGATGGAGGGTCAGGTTTGTTTTTTCCAAGCGGGAGCCGATCCGAGACATAACTTCCGCACCACTCACACCCTTCTGACTTTGAGTGGAACTGGAAGAATTAATAAGTAAGGAAAGAAGAAGATATTGGACTGGTCAAACAGAATTTGCGCGCCAAATCCAAAACTCGCATACTTTTGAAGCTCTAAAATTCCTCTTTGAATTTATGAAACGGTCGAAAAAGATGCTAGCCTAGCGACTATGTAGGTATCCTGAACCGGCAAACCACATTTTCCATGTTCTGATAATTTTTGTCATACAAAAAATAAGATCGGTGTCCCGCATGATTACTCCTCAAACCACAGAATCGGAGCATTTTTTGGGATGAAAAAAGGAAAAAGAATGAATCTTCTCGGCCACGACTATTGTTTAGTAGAATTTTTATTTCGGCTCACTGAATTCTTACGAAATATGGAACGGGCAATTTATAGCAGTTTTTGGAATAGCGTAATTCTAATAAGTCAACCTAGAGGCTAAAACAATGAAAACAGTGAAATTCAAAATATAGCACATTATTTAATTCCCCCACTTTACGAGCTTACGAGTGGTTTGCAGGAAAACCACGTTGGGCGACCTGCAAAAACTTGCAGAATGTTCCCTGGCTAGTTGACGTGCAGTGCACATTTATTCACTTAGGTCCTCTTGAATGTCACGCACATCATCACCTGCAGCGCGGTATCGCCGCAACTTAGACCTTCTACTCCCGGAATGGCGAATACGTACTGTATCTAAGTCTCAGCCTGGAGCTTTTGAATGTGCCAGGGTGTACCCTATCAAATATGTAGGTGATGATAAGGATGAAAAATGTACGATAATAATTGAAACTAGATTGAACATGACATCTTCGGCAACTTTTTGACAATATCATGACTAGTTTTTCAGATGTTCCGAACTCGAATACCTTGATTTTCAAATCAACTTGTACCAAGAACCAAAAGCCGATTCCCCTCAAACCCGGCTGCTTTTCAGTTCACAATGGCCTGCCTTGTTGCAGATACAGTCGTAACTGCTTAAAGCTTCCCTTGACAAAATTTACCCTAATGTTCATTGATGAGTCCGTTTTTATGAAAGTTGATAACGTCGCAATAGGTCGGGGCGGTGTCAGGAGAGGTGGAGTGATCTCGCCTCCGGCTGCTTTGATCTACCAATACCGATCGGTTAGCGATCGATCCAATAAGAAAACAGCCAATGGTCGCGAAGCAGCCTTCAAGTGGCTCATTCACCGCTCTCGAAACCACCCCGCCCTGAGTGATTGCGACGATTTCAGCTGTAAAATAAAGCATGTGTTTTCAATTGACGTGTTGCTGTTGATTAGAACGGTTTTATTGCAGAGCGTGAAGATGCAGCAAATCACGGTGAGTTCAAGCATGATGTCGTATTTGTGCATGTGTTGTGCTGTTCTGTTCCTCTACACTTCACCTCGCTTAACCTCGCTTTCTAACTTACATCTGCTAAGCTGTTTCTGAGTCTTTTATCCTATCTACTCATTATCGTTGATCACACAAAGTGACAATTATGAGCATTGTTGTGGTTGGGTAAATAAAGGGTTTTGGCGTGAAGACGGGTGGTGCGCCAATGGACACGATCTCAGCCAGCTGCTGTCGCGTCACTGTAGTGTTGTCGTTGTGAAAAGAGCGTCAATTGGTAGTTGCGCCAAGGTGGTGGGTGGAGAATGGGGAGCGATGGGTGATGGTTATATGAATTGAAATCGTCGAGGGGCGACAACGTTGTGCTCCTAGCGGAAACAATGCCGATCACACATGCAGCTGCATCATCCATAAATAGCTGAAATAAACCCGGCATGTCGAGCGTTAAGCGACCGGCGTTGACCTTCGCCAGTCACCGTCGTCGGGGTTAATTGCCAACGCCTTCGACGACGGTGACAAGAACACCAGTATGAATCAGCGAGTCAAGAGGATCTCTTTTACGAATGACCCCGTCAAAATTGTTCCATAGTGAGGGCAATTTCAGGAGTGCAGATCCTCATGTAAAATCCCAACAGTTCTTCAAAAAGTAAGAATGGAGTGGTGTCCGGGGGAGTACAGGGATGACCCAGTACTCCAGGTTTATGGTTGAGAGGCGTTTACTAAAATATCTGAAACTTCGCCGCAGTTTTAATTGTGCACCTCTGACGATTGATGGTGAATCGTCGTCATTTACTCCCCCCCCCCCTCACTTCCAAAGTTTGGGCTCTTTGGAAGGTCCACGCTTCAGAATTGGTTGTAATGGATATACTTTAGCGGATCATTCCCGTATATAGCTTGGCCCTCCTAACACGAGTCTCTCACCTGTTTGGCCTGAACGCCGTTTAGGCTTAAACAGAAGTGGCTTTTGTTTTCAGGTAACCGGAATCCCAGGGAACGTAATTTGTATTGGTGATTTTGAGTGCATTGTTGCGTGCTTCAGTTTGCCCTTCAGATGGCTGCGGTATTTGTGAACTATGGGCCAAGTTATATCACTTTATAATTTCAAGGCCAAATCCTGCCCAGGAACAATTTTTGAAAAATTGGGTCTAAATTCGGAAACGTGCGATAGTAAATAGTGAATGGTGCGATTCGAATACCAGCTGGGATTTTATTGACATTTATTAGCGCACTGTGTGGACCAGTGAAACTCAAGAACCTGTTGTGATTTACTGACGTTTGTTTAGAAACGGAATAACTACAGTAGCCTCACTACAACGCGGGACCACAACAACCGTGTAATTAATACGGTGAATTGAAACGATTTTCTTACAGTTCAGACTGAGGAAAATTTCCCCGTGGGTCCAGTTCAGCTTGAGCACAATCACCCAGGGTGTCTGGGGTATATGTCGCCGTTTTTCCACAAAAACTGTTAGGTTTTGTCGGCAAATTTGGAATTGTTGGTTAGACGCTTCGATCAGTAACCAATCGATCAGCTGTGATGACGGTATTGAGCGGAAGTGTTTGAAAATCAAACAGGAGGGTGAAGACATACAGAAGAAAAGGCCAAAGTAGCCGCTGTTGTGGTCAAAAATATCCTGAACCCTGTTGCCGCGTGCACTTGTGACCTTCCCCAGAAATTAGGATTTCTGCTATGGGAACCAATGACTTTTCCCAATAATTCAACGATGACCGGCTGAAATGCAAAATTGGAACTGGTTCCCATATACAGTGATAAAAATTTGTAAAAAGTAATTTGTTTAGTGCATCATTTTCATTTTAAAAATGAAACTGGTATGCAGTAATTTTGCTCGATTGCTTGCTTCCAAGTGAATCACATCCCAATCGGGTATGGGAAGCGATCTTTAAGAAATGTTTCGTTCCAACAACAATCACTACTTATTCCATTGATCCAGCCCGAGGCCATCCGGACAGGCTCCCACACTTGATCAGAAGGGTTGATGAGGGCACCTAGATTGAATTAAATCAAATCAATTAAATTGATATTAGATTGTAGGACTGCGGGGAGCAAATACGGTTACTTTGGGCATGGCGCGCACCATCAATGTGCACAGGTTGCACAGGATGACCAAGAGCAACCACCTTACAAGTTACACTACTGACATTTCTCCCTAATGATAGGAATTTTAAACGGAGAAAAACTGAGAGGGAATCTCAGGAGTTATAAAAAATTAGAGTGAAGCCGCCTCTCACTGGAAAAACAAATACGACCCCGAACTCTCCACTTGCAGACGAATCGTAAATGATACATGGTAAGTTCGATGTGACCCCTCCCCCCTCCCCCCCCCCCCTTAGGCATTCCCATGAGTAGAAGCAAGCCCAATCATAAAAGCTTCCTCCAGCGCGGTTAGGTTAAACCATTCACTATCCCGGATCAGCTCTAGGGAACGCACATTATTTGTACTTTTCTTGTGCAGGTTCTTGAGGATTGTCCCTGAGGAAAACGCCATTAGTCTGCTACTGCTCCCCGCAACGATTTGGTTTTCATGATCGATCCAGGGCGGTCAAGCGGCCTGGGATTACCGAAATGTTGGTGTTCGCAATGCGCCAGGATTAGGAGCTTGGAAGTAAAAGTGTAGAGCACGTAGTAGTCCTCCTACACTGCCACTTGAGGCTGTATAGTTCCCTCCGCCCGATGCCCATTTTTGCCACCTGCCCTCCCTCCCCCTCCCCTCCAGATTAATCCTAAGGTCACTTGGGTAGACAATAAAGATAAAATATCAAGTTTTTGTGATTGTGCTATGCTTCACCTTCTGCAGACTTAGGGCTGCTGAACTCCATCATAGTACTTGAGGGCAGCACCCACGTTCATTTGATGCTCCCGCGCCTTCTCTGGATATCATAGCCCTCCCCATGAGGATGCAGTATGTACCATCTTTGCATCTTAAAGAAGGAAAGCGCCCTTCGCTAGTGAAGAGTCGGCCGCCCCCCTCCCCCACCTGGGGTTCTATATAGGGCATTTTCTATGATTTTTTCTGCTTCTTTTTTCTCCTTTACTGGATCACGTATTATATGAGCCCTACAACTCATCATTCTTGAAAGCGCGCTCAGCTTTTGATGGCTAGGTAAGCCAAAGCAGTTATGGTAGCCAGGTGGGCGGGGTGGCATCCTCTTCACAAGCGGATGGCACCATCCGCTCGTATTGAGCTGCGAAATAAGTAAATTGTCCACCCTTGTCGACAAAGCTACGATATCCAAGGAGGGCGAAGGAGCATCAACTGAACGCGAGCGGTGCCTTTAGAACGAAGGTTAAATCCGCCTTGTCTTCGATCATATCCATGAACCAAACCTACTAAAATTTGCAAATAGCATAGTTTAGCTAGTGTTTCCCTGAGTTCTTTTCCTACTTTTTCTTCACTTTGAGTTCACTGCCCACTTTTATGTTCTAGCCTATTCGTATCGCACGCATAGCAGCTAGCTGAGATTTCCACTAACGTAGACTATGTATCCGACTAGCGGCTTAAAACGGTACAAGGGTGCACTGAACGGGAGCACGTAGGCAGCAGTGGTGTTGAAGACCATCATTTTAATTTTTACTCTTTCAGAAGCACCTTGGGTGAAAACTGAGCACTCGTTCGTACCAGTAAAGAAGAACGCAGATGTGAACATTTCATGTGCTTACGATGGCACGCCATCGCCACAAGCTGAATGGTTCTTCAACGGATATAAAATCAATGTGAGCTGCGTTTAATCGTTTTCTATCACAATTTTGCTGAGTTGTAGACAAGATTCGACTCTAGGGGAGGGGGGTCGTATTTGACCCGAGAACGAATTCTTTCGGTAGTTGATTTTTCTTGTTTCAGGGAGTTGTAAAGTGGGGGGGAGGGGCGTCATAACTGTTCGTTCTTGGGAGAGAGGTCCTACTTCCTTCGGGTTTTTTTCGTTTCACATGTGCTAACCCCCTCCCCCTCCCTCTCGACAGCTCGGTGAAGAGGGGGGAACCAAGAGGGTCGTGTTAACCCCCTAAAAAAGGGCGGGGTCGTACGGACCCGAGCAAAATCCCCAACTAATGATGTATCCCGATTTCAGCTTAATCTCTGCTACCCCATGAAGGTAAAAAGATAAAGTAAAAGCCATAAACCAGTCCTTCTGGGATGCGGCACGCATTCTACTCTTCCGATGAGTTCCGCAATGACTTGTTAATTGCGGGTGTTGCCGAAAAAATGTCCTTTGGGAGGGGGATTGGATTGGGACGGGAGCCGATACGGGATTTGATTCTCGGACCGCGCGCGTGGTAAGCATGCCGCTACATTGCCTCAGGCTCCTAAAATACACTCGAAATCCTCAAGATGGGGTAGGCGTGGCAGCGTGCACTTCAACTAAAAATTGTGGCAGCTGTGCTTCTGGAGAAATATTTTCATTTTGACACAACTGTGTTCACGTATCCGTTCAATACAGAACAAGAAAGCAGTTGCCTCAGACTGAACTATACCACAATTAACCCATTTCATGCCATTCTCGAATACCACGCCTACTCCGTTCCAAGGATAAGGAGTATAGATAGCTTAGTTTCACTCCTTGCAGAAAATAGACACGAATTCTAAGACTGTTCCATGCTTCATCTTAGGAAGAGCAACGCGGCCTCTTACTAATGATGAGTGACAATCGCGATCAACCCATTAATGGCTGTTCCTCCAGGGATCCTCTGCTCAGAGCTTTAGGCCATCAGCGCCAAGTGTGATTTTAACAACTTACTTCTTTCCTCTAGGGGAATAAAGGAAGTGCCTATACTACTTCCTGGATCTAGACATTTTAGCTGTCTTTTCTGCGAACACTATAAGATTTCGATGCGAAACGTAGGAATGCCTGTGTGCAGCTGTCTTATCGATTAGGAGGTCAAAACCTTTGATGCGATGTTGTAGACACACCTCATGTTTTTTTTCATATTGCTTTCATTTTTGCCAAGTTGACTTTATCTTTTCTAGTTCTCGGAGGAACGATTCCGCAATACAGCTCAGTACGCACAGCGTCGTATCAATCATACAAACGCCATTCTCACAGTTGTCGGAATAAATGAGGTTTGTTTGGACTCAATCCATCCAACACAACTGTTAAAATATAAAACAATGAGCCTTACTTGGCCCAGTGGGCACTTATCCATCAGTTGCGTGAGCCAGCTGGTACTCGATTAAGTGCAACTACCCTTTTTCGTTAAATTTGCTATCATTAGACAAACATTCCGCGATCACCAGATTCTAGAATATCTTTCTTATACCGTAGTCCCGTGCGCGAACTTGAGGTTGTCTCACTCCGGCAGTGAGTGAAGAGGCACTGTGAACGTCTTTCGCCGAAGATGCCCCACCCGTAGAAGTTACGTCACTCATATGAGGACGAGTTTTGTCAGGTCCTGAGCACGAAGGTGACGCTTCGCGTTTATTCGTTTCATCATAAGTAGGAACGACTCGCCATCTCACTCGTCTTCCAACTCGTCCTCCTTTTCTCTCACATTCTGTCTGCCGCCTCTCTGCGCAGCAATGTGTAGCTTCTTTGAATAGTCTTCTGATGCTAAAGCCTTATCTATGACGTCCTTGTCCACTTTTTCCTTGACTTGTAAATCAAACTGGTTCGATTCATCCCTAGATGGTCCCGGAACCATTTGCGCCAAAGCGATGCCGTTTGTCGTTCCACCCCTAATACTGTGGTTCACATAGATGATGGATATTACCGTTTCGTTTGCGCTCTTGCTGCTAAATGGCGTTCAGATGAAAGATGAAGGAATGGCGGCGCACGTAACAAATCTTTCCTTGTGCAATTTTGGGATTACTGTAAGCTGCAGGGACCGCTGTGCAGAAGCACCGTGCCTATCTGCGGCAAGGGTTCAGACGAAAGACAGGCACAGACTTAAATGTAAGACAAGTCGGCAATTCGGTAACATTCTATCAAACGGAGATGGGAAGCGTGGCCACCTTTCGTTCAAAGTGGGCTGCAGCACAGCTTTCAGAGGGGTGTTACAGTCCCAGAACAGTTGCATCCATGGCTTTGTCCAGTGCTACGCAGGATTACACTTGCATCTATGGGATCCTCTGAAAATTTATCCTACGCCATATCCAAGAAAGTCGGCAGCCACGCCCACTCCGTCGGAACGGAACCCTCCTCTGACCCTATGATGTGGATGACGCCCTACTTTATACTCAGTAAAACACAGAATAGATGCCAGTGTTCGTCAATTGTAACCGACGGTCCTTAAATAGAAACATTATCGCGAAAGTTGTAAACATCTGAAATTTGAGATTTCCGCAAAAAGTTAACAAATAAACGAAAAAGTCTTTGCCGTTCATCAATCCCTCTGTGGGATGCGGCACGCATTCTACTTCCATTCAAAATCATAGTAGCTTATTGGAAAAAGTTACCAGTAAAAATCGCTGCGCAATAAAATTAGAACTATGTTTATTCTGAAAGTAATGCGATTTTCAGGATTCATTTGGTGATTATATGTGCCGGATATCGAACAACTTGGGTACAGCCTTCGCTGTCATTCACGTGAGCGGTGAGTTTCAACGGCTCCGATCGATTTCATACCTTTCTTTATTAGAAACCCTGTCAAACATCATGTCTGCGCACAAATAAATAATGCACCACGCAACCCCGAGGTGTAAACGGTCATTATGAGTATACAAAAGAATTTTACATGGCCTATTCGTGCATTTAGCACGTTCAGGTCGCGCCTAATGTCAACACCTAGTCACAATAGAAAGGTGAGGAATGGGTGAGGAAATAGGGATTGAGAAGTGGTCTCGCAGGAACCTGCGAATTTCCTCATCTGAAGTTTATCCCAAGACGCCCGAAGGTGGACCCCATAGTTCGGAAGAACATACTCAGAGAAATGATACTGTAAAAAGCAAAAGAAAGTACGAAAAAGAACGAGAAGAACACCAAGGCAGCATCCATCTCATTCGCCACGAGAATTCACTGAAATTGCGTCGAAAATTTAAGTTTGGGCAATCGAAAGTGAGGTTGTTACCATATGTCCTAGTGAGTTGATAGCGCCATTCACAGTTTAGCAGATGCTGATGCGGATGCTGGATCGTGCCAGGGTTCCGGGTTTGGCACAGCGCCAGCCCGTCCTCCATCAGTTGTAGAAGCAGGCAAGCGACAACATTTTGTGGAAAACTACTGGAACGAACGTCATAATACAGCCTTTGTAGCTTGCTTGCTTCATCAACTGATGGAAAGGGGCAAGCGCGGCGAAATGCTTCTCCCCCCCTGACAGCCCATAATCCGCAGCGAACTAGAGCGCATTCCAGTGTCCGAAATGTTTGGGCATTCTTCTCTCGTCAGTAAAACTACGGTTCTGAAGACAAACTTGCAGCGGGCCAAGAATTACAATTTTAAATTTTCACCGGGCTTCTCTGATTTGCGCACAAGAACGGTGTTTTTTACGAAAAATGAAAGGGTAGAAAGGATAAAAATTTCGCCGTTGGTCAATCCCTTTGTAAGATGCGGCACGCATTCTACTTCCCGTAGTGGCTTATTGAATGCGATGTGGCCTATACAATGACTTGCGGCGGCCAGCGGATATATAAGTCAGTGCTACTACCCTCCAGACGAATCTAGTACCAATTTACCGTCCTGGGAGGGTAGAAGGTTTGGTTGGCCTGCGCGAGAGTCGACCCGGGATGTGAACCCGGGCGGCTGGTAAGTGCGCCACTTATGATTACATCACCTCCGCCTTACGACAAATACTCTGTCCTTCACAAAATAAGAGCTGAGAAATATGCTCGGATCACTAGATTCGCTGGTTCGAAGGCCAATGAATACATGAAATACACGAAAAAAGGCGACTTGGCTTATTCCAAACTTTTTCGTTATTATATAGTGCTATCTCACAGTTAGTATTTCATGCAAAGGTGACGCTGCCTAATGTAACAGTTCAGGTCGCCCTGGCCCACCGACGATCCAACTGGAGGGATCTGAACTATCATGGACAGTTCGAGCCTACGAACCTGTGATTGAGTATCGAATCTACTATCGGCATGAGAAAGCTGACGATTGGAACAAATATGAGAGTATTCGAGCAAGCAAATGTAAGCAGCGCTATTTTGAGCTCGAAATTCCCCAGTCTTCACGGACTCAAGTTTCTTAAATTGGTTCGTTATAGCTGACAACAATGGCGATGACATGTGGCAACATAGTGTGTCTTTACTTCCGTACCTTGAAGCCGGCGTACCGTACGAGGTTACGGTAAAAGCTCGTAACGCCTTGGGTTGGGGCTCGTTTGCTCGAGAGAACGTGCTTGTTCAACTACCCCTTAATGAACGCGGTAAGTTAATTTGTTTTTTTTACATGAGCTTACAAAGAAAAATAAATGTAGTGGCAGGCGCTATTTCTCTCGAAATATATGGCAGTATTTCCTGTCTGATGGCCTTCTTTTCGAAGTTTAGGTCAAAATCTACAGAATTTTGGGGTCAATATTGTTTGGTGGAGTGGGCGGGGGGGGGGTGATGAGGGAAGTGTCAAAGCGATGATTCCACGCTGCTTTCTATCAATTTCCCGGACAGAATATACCGGGGCTCCACCCTCGTCAAAAGGGGGACATAAACGAGCGCACGTGAGTTGCCATGGTCGTATTGCCCCGCGTTTTCACCCCCCCCCCCCCTCACCCCAACAACCATTGTGCCGAAATTTGCATCATCATCCCTTTTATAATATAACTTCTCTTAAAATGCTCCCAGAGGTGGAAAGACCCCAAGAGCACGAAAATTACAGTAATTCTATGGAGGAACATTATTTAATACTCTTGGGGGCGGTTAGGATGATGCTTCACTTGGAATTTTTGAGCAATCTTGCTCAAGACGTGAAATTATACCGGTGCAAACTTCTAACTAAATCTATATTTGGCAAACACTTGGGAATAAACAAGCCTTAGCTCCCAAAAATAGGGTAATGAGAGGTGAATATTACCAAATATTTTCTGTCACTGCATACTTTGATGTTGAAGTATTATATTTCAGAGGTGACGTCATCAACAACATTCGTCTCCACTTTGTTTGCTCTTTTAATGGCAGTTGTCCTACGGTATTAAGTATATGTCGCCATCCTTTAAAATATTTGATACGGTGTTCCAGCTGGTCAAACTGTAAAGCGGCACTTATGAGTTGTAGCAACTGTTCAAGATAACGTTTGGAGGGTTATTCCACTGAGGCATTAAGCTCAACACCTTACAATATATTATAAACACTACACCAATGCATACAATGCATATTGATTTGTACACAAATGCATAGCACCTCTAGCTGGCATGAGCTGGGGCTTCTATTAGTGGAATAGCTTTTCCTAGCATCCTCCGACATTTTTGCCTTCAACACGCTGCCATGGAAAGAGTACCTCTGTGTCTCATCAGGAACTAAAGTCATTATGATTATCGTACAGATCCCATTACTAGTTAAACCAGACCGCCTACAGTCAGTCGGTCAAACCCGAATCTGAGGTACACCGGCTAGCGAGGCATGTATATTTTTGATTAAATTCTAGTTGCTATTCAGCGTCAATTTGTTCCATACGCACACATCACATCACTTTCATCACAACGCTTTCACTTTAGTTCTCATACGTAGATGGCTGGTACAGGCGTCTTCCAAAATAATTAATTATTATTACTTTAGAACTCTTAATTTACCGTGTGCTTAATATAGCGCTTTCGCTTACTTTTAATCTGATTGAGAACTTGTCAAAATTGTTTTCTGTTTTCTAGCGTCATATGCGCGCATACCGGGTGTTGCGTTTTTTTTTCTCTCTCCAGTTTCCCTCTCTCAGTTTATTATTGATTTTTTTTCATTTTGATTTCTGATTTATACATTTATCCAGTGCACATTCTTTAGAATTTTATCGGAACACCACTAGTGAGTGTAAAATTTCATCGTCATTTTTCATCTCTTTGGCGATACCTTCTTGCATCCATCTTTCATTCGGTGTGTTTTGTATCTTGCCCATGTGATCTGTCGTTGTATTCTATTCTTGTTCGAAACTTGGTGGCGTGATCTACGTCTCGATCAATAATCGTAGTGTACTGCAAGTGTGTCATTACGCCTCCATGTTGTGAGAGATTCTTATTCGACATTTATGCACTGTTTATTCGATATCGCAATAAAGTTGTTTCACTACAGCAGATGTTCGGTTGAAGAACTGTTTTGAATGGTAATAGTATATCAGTCATAATAATCACTGATAATAGTAGAAACAGAATAAACACTAGTAGTAATCAGGGCCATTGGGGTATCCCCAGCGAAGGGATTGTATTTAGTCGCTGAATGGGGGGCGTACTCGTCTAAGGAGAATTTTTTGTTTTTTTGATAGTTTTTTCTGTTTCACTGTTATTTTCACCACTGGAAGAAATCCAACGGGGGAGGAGTCGTATTTGCTCGTTGCTGGGAGAGGAGAGAGGGGGGGGGAAGGGTTGAATGTGCCCCGGAGAGAAATTCAGCGTGTTGCGAATTTTTGCTAGTTGTTGATTTTTTGAATTATCACGGTTTTTCTCGTTTCAATGGTGCTATATATACCGTGGTGAAGTGGAGAAAGTCTAAGAAACTAGGAAAGTGGTAGATGGAATGGGAGAGGGAGAGGGGAGTCGTAGCAGAGGGGAAAAATTGGGGGGGGGGGGTTGGGTGGTAATTCCAAATTTTTTTTCTTTTTTTCTCCAGCGGCAGGACGTGTCCTGGTAGTAATAGTGAGGTAGAGTGGCATAGTGGCAAGTGACGCGCGCGGTCCGAGTCAAATCATGAATCGCTCCCCCCCAAGTCAGCTAAGACTTCTATCCCATGGATACGGTATATTGGTATCAGGTTCGTCTAATCCTATTCCCTGTCCACGAAGAGGCACTACAGGAGGCTGCGTTTGGCGCAGCGCCAGCAAGTGCTTCATCAATCAGTTTCATCTGTCAGCTTCCACGTTGACGGAGAGCTGGCGCTCAAAACCCTGCCTCCCTGACACGCCCATCATCTGCAGTGAACAAGGCAGTGGATATGAGCAATGTTTATTTGCACAATGATCCTTTCGTGCTGAAAAACACATAAGCTTATAGATTCAAGTTTAAGATATTAAGTAAATTTATACAACGCTTTACAAGGCAACTGCCTGAAGCACGATGTTCAGTTGAATAGCCATTTAACTTGATGACTGCCTTCATGGTATCTACTACATATGCGAAGCCTCCAGGGTATACACCTGATTTCCTTCTGTTAAAATACTCGATAATGGTAATGGTCACCCCTGCTAAATGGGCGCTTAAGCATTTTCTTAGTGCTCGATACGATTGAAGGGCAGAAATCCGGGCTATATTTGCATTAGAAAAATATTACCACATTCCTGCTGTTTTCCATTCGTTCCCCGTAGTTTACCCACTTGAAAGGATCAACGCCACTTTTCTGGACTATTATGCAAGAAAAGAATATGGAGGCTACTTTCCGGCTTCCTTTCTTCTCGCCGACCTTGAAAATCTAATGCCGAACAACAGAAGGCTTAAACAGCTGCCACACACAAATATGAAAGTAAGAGTGAAGATCAATACACTGTTGGTATATTTGAGAGTAATAGTACATACCTTTATGTAGTAGTGAAATGATGCTCGACCTTACTGTTAAGTTTTGATACTTTTAGTGCGAGCTATTCTAGAGAGATTCCTGACGTCAAAGCATTTGAAGAAATTTATATGACTGAGGCGTTACTGCTCAAATTGAGAAAACGCGCGTCAAAAGTTTAGACGAGAGTAAATCGATTTCACACACGAGCGAATTGTGAGAATCGGAGAATGAGCGATTTGTAATCGATTGATCCTTACTTGGTCCTTTGACGCACTCTTCACCGTGACAAAATGAGCGTGTCAATGGAGTCACTTAAGCAACTTTGGGCTTTGATGCTCCTTTCGCAGAACTTTCTGATGCTAAACTGGTACAAGTTTTGTAATAGAGAGCACTGGGTCCGCTCTGTCTCTCCAGACAGAGAACTTCTTATAAGTTGGCGCGGTAATCCTTCAAACTGAATGGGATCGTAACTTTACCTTGAATAGTTGGTAATTAAAAGTACAGAACATGGGAGCTGGGGGAGAACTCTTGGCGGACGGACACGTCTTCATGCAAACTCCCAGCTTGCCTACAATGCCGCGGTTTTTTTTATTTTTTTACATGACTTATTTTGATTTATTACTCCTTTGATTGGTTTTTATTGTCTACCTTGGCTTTCAGATTCTCAAGAATGTAGTTAAACAAGATTCCGTTGATGCAACTAGCGAGAACTGTCGGGAACAACGGCGACATCTGAAGTACATCTGTAGACATAATTGGTTCTTGAATTGGCTTATAATAGACTTTCTTTTTCAACTGGAACTTCGGGTCGCCTGGTGCTTTTGTCTGTTTCGGATGTCGATAGCCTCTGAATGCCCTTTTGTCACGTTTTTTTCCAGCATTACAACGGGTAACGCGAAAAAACAAGACTTCACTATTGTTAGGGAAATTTCCTGTTGTCATTTTTCTCTCACTTTTGCCTAGGATTAACTTCGCACGATAAATAGGAAAATTGGCCCTCTGATATCACCGTCCTCCAAAAGCGCCGAGATCAAGGTTTAAACTCGTTATCAATGACGATTAATACATTTCAAGGTGACTTTACAAAATCATGTGATACCTAGATTTATGCAAGATAAATCACTCCCTTCTTTCGCGACCATTGTCTCTTTCTAAAAGTGAAGGTGAACTGGATCAAGAAGATACCCTTTATATCTGCATCCACTGCACAGTCTGCGATTTCACGAGGTCTAATCCAGCTGTCTGTTACCCTTCTACTTCGCCGTGCTCTATTACCGGTCGCTGGTGGACGCTGGTAGACGCTGGTGGACGCTGGCAGACACTAGACCATATCTCGCTAAACGCCTGAAACGCCAGGGGACGTTGGTAGACGTTGGTGGACGCTGCCGCAGAGTATGAACGAAGCCTCGATCTTCAAATACTTGCCTGTTTCGATCAGGGCACGTCGCTTCTGCCTTGGGAAACAATAGCGAGAAGGGTCGTATTTCATCATTGGAGGGAGAGGGTAGTATTTGCTTTCGAAAAAAATATTTCCGGTTGTTGGAAAACGAGAGGGCTCTTGAGGAAAAAGGTAGCGAGTTCAGTTCTGAGGGATTTCAGAGATATGGTAGTAATTAGGATGGCGAAAGGGAGTGTGAGGGTCATTCCAGACTAGGGAATTTTTTTTTGGCGGGGTGGAGGGGGGGGGGGCTGGACAGTATTTCGCAAACTGTTCCTCCAACAGCAGAATTGCTAGGATTTGATACATTTACTTTCCGTACAGATTTCGTTTTCATCCTCTTTGCCAGAGGCCAAAATAGTCAATAACAATTAGACCCGTCTTCTTAATAATAATGAACACTACTTGGGTGCTTCAGTAAATCACACTGAGTCAGTGTCTGGGGGTCAAACTCCACATCGCTCTCAATTCAAGCCGACCGAGCTTCCCATCGCTGGGAGGGGGGGGGAGGGGTAGGGTGGTCATTTCATTCAGTTTTTATCACTCCAGAGTCGCCTGGGAGGACAAAAACACTGACAGTGGGCGTTTGCTGGATCCAGCCAAACTCCACTAACCGTTGCATAAGCCAGATCGTGGTCAGTGAGCTTGTACTATAATACTACGACTACTGTCGACTAGTTGTCAATTATCTAATCTTGACAGCACCATCCTGAATACTTCAACACGTTGACAAGCGCGTGATTCACATGCGCACCACGCCTGGCAGGCCACATAGGACGACGTGGTTCGTATGTGAATCACGCTCATCAAACCCATATACTTCACAAATGCGTGACGTTTCTCATTACACTCGTAGAATACGTGGTCCACAGAGCAGTTTAACATGCTGAACTTCAGCAAGAGTTCTCCGTGGACCAAAAGCTCTAGGGTCACTACCCTTGGAGCCAAAATATCGGCTAGGAAATTTTTTTTCTATGTTCACTAAGGGGAAATTTGATGGAAAACTAGCCTAATTATGGAAAACTGGGACAGCACAAAGTAAACAGTGCCCTAGTTACTACTCAAACC